GTGGAACAAATTAAATTGTATCTCCAGCACTTAATGGACACTTAATAGATGTCGAATTTCGTTGTTCAAGTAAGATGAATAGTTTTCAGCAAATATTGTTGAGATTCATTTCTGAGAAAAGATCTGACGGAGTCGCCCTAAAAAGCCATCGTGAAGTAGTTGCTCAGTTAATAAGCCTGCAAAGGGTTTCCAAATTCACTTATGCATTTGTGAAGCGGAACGCGCAAACATGGAGTGATCACAGTGGTAATCGCGGCATTGTTTGATCCAACAGGTACAGTATTGTACAGCTGCCAGACAATGGTAGCTGCTGTTACGAAGGCTCAGTTTTCTCAAATCAGATTACAGTGAGAAACCACAGCATGGTCTGGTTTCATAGTTATTAGTCAGCAGAGTTGCATAAAATGTGACTGAGAAGAAGACTGAACACTCTGTTCAGCGTTGTTTTTCTCTGTTGTGTGCATGCGTCTTTACCCATGCCAGGTGAGGGTTATAAATTGAGACGAAGGGGTGGTGGGAGGAAACCTAGAAATTTGATGATGTTCCTTCGAGAGTGAAGGGAAAATGCTGACAGCACAAAGGTTTAAGAACAATCCAAAGACAAAGAAATGTGTCTCTAAGGTAGGACAATCCAGGTGTCTGGCACAGAAAGTACCCAAGACGAACTGGTTTAGGGTGTTCTGCAAAGGAATGTAATTTTAAAAAAGCAGACTGGAAAAATAAATCGTAAGTGGCCAAAAAATCGAATGTAAAGCTACAGTTAATAGAAAGTTGATGAAAATGCAAATAACCGAGAACATAAAGCAGACTGGGGGAAAAAACACGTGTGGCCATAAAATAGAATATAAAGCTATAGTTCAAAGAAAGTTAATGAAAATGTAAAGCACTGAGAAAATCAGGGGGGAAGAGCAGAACATGGAAAGTGGAAAAAATGAAAGTCTACATATAAACACAAAGGTTGTTGGCAAAGAACAGTTTAACACTTATTGTTTTATTCTCTTTGTTAGATCTGTCAAGTGAAAGTGAAAACAAATTTCCTGAAGTAACTCAGCCAAGTGTCAGGGAGGTCATGAAATAACTAAACTAAAGGCACTCACACCAAAATCTAGGTGAAAAATATGAAAAGAAAGAGGAAAGGTTCTGTCTACTCAGGGTGCAACTTTGTGGCCCATGCAGCAAGACCCACAAAGAAGTGTGACATTATCAAATTTACACTGAGGTGAAAGCCACATCATGAAATTGCAAAAAGGGCTTAAAAAAAAAAAAATAAACAACCAAAAAATAAATAAGATAAAAATACATACAATAGTCAAGACACATGTATTTGTCAATAGCGGACATGGGACTTAACAGCTATCTTTGATTCACAAAGCTGATTTACAGAACATACAAACTGCATAGTTGTGGAGAGAGCGATGCAGTTAACAGAGTTCCGCTTAATCAATCGCAGTGCGCAGTCTGGCGCCGCAGCTTTGGTTTGCTCGATGTAAACTCTAAATATCCTGAACACAGGTGTTACCCAAAATAGAATGGTGCTTTCAAGCGAAAACACATTCAGACAACAAAAAGAGTACCGATTGTGCTGTGACAAAATGGCCAATACAGAACGATACTGTTTGAGCTATTGACGCTCCTGATACCACTAAGATTGATTCTCCAACATCGAGATGTTTGAAATGTCAGTCATTCGAGACTCGGTATTTGCAGTACAGTGTACTCACAAGTGAAAGGCGGTACGGGTATTTATTTTCAGACTCACGTGAGGAGCACACAAGGAACACAGCGATCTGATCTCCGTGTTAGCAAAACAATATTAAAGTTACATCCTGTCAGGTAGCGCCCAATTCTATTAGTGGTGTCCAGAATTCATTTGCAAAAGGCTGTCACAAGTAAATGAATATGTAATGCCAATTACAACATGACGGCTGATTAAAAATGGAACTAAATATGCTCAATATCAGCCAATCAGATACGGCCGATAAGATCCGTTGGAAAGTCTAACTAACATTTGAACGGCTCTTGCCATGCACCGGTGTCACCTATCCACAAACCTTGAATGTGGAGAGAACACAAAGCCTTTGACCTTTTATCTTGTAGATAAATACCCCCTTTACAAAGCACCGACAATTATCATGCATCCTTGTTCTTACATGAACACATGCTTAAAAAGAGGGTGAATCGTTTTGGCTGACTTCATGTGTCAATCACACACAGCCTGCTAAAAGCTAATGTCTACCCTTACCCATTGGAAATATTGGGTGAATACCGTTGTGCAGAAAGCAGGAGAGTGTAGTGAGAGTAGATCGGACATTTCTTCTCTCCCAAGCAGCCCCTTTGGGGAAAACATCCTCATAAGTTCAAGTTTGCTGTGAACGTGTGAAAGCGGCTTTTGAAACAAAGGCCACATTGTGTTCAATGCCTGAGAACACCATCATTACTACTTCGCATTAACAGCTGTTGAGCATTACAACTTATCAGCACAAACACTGCCTATGCTAAATAGGCCTAACAACAGCGTTCATTGCCATAATAACTCATGAGTAAATCGGAGTTGATATTTGATGTGTCACTGCCCATTTGTCCATCTAAGGTTTTTGTCTAGATCAGCGGTGTCAAACATACGGCCCGCGGGCCGGAAGCGGCCCGCAAGGAGGTTCAATCAGGCCCGCAGGATAATTTAAAAGTGAAAAAAAAATGCATTAAAGACACAGAATTAATATTTTTAATAAGGTGCAATTTATTGAGTATCCGCAAGGGGACACTGTTTTGATCAGAGAAGAAGACAACAGCAGCCTCAGTCGGTCACTGAGACAGACCCATGACAGCAGACGCTATCAATAGCACTCTCACATTTACACATTTAATAGCACTCTCCTTAGTTTGTAAGGTGTAGGCAGGGATTACATTTAGATTTTATATGCCCGTGTAAATGGTTTATAACTTCCTTTCTTTATAAATCTCGTTTAATCTTAAAGTGCATTACTATAGTTTTCAATACCAATTACTTGTTAAAGTTTGTCCAATCAGTGGGATCAGTTGCAATGCATATACGTGAATGATAAAAGTAAATTGCACATTTGTCGAAGGAAATGTAAGGTGCTTCATGAAATGTTTTGTAAAAGATATGTTCATCAAATTTTAACATTTCCCTAATGTTCTTGTGCTTCTTTATACCAAAACAAAGGAAAGACATATTGTTTTGGTTATTTATAGCAAAGTATGGTATCATTTTAATGGTCCGGCCCACTTGACATCTACCGAGGCTGTATGTGGCCCACCATGTGAAATGAGTTTGACACCCCTGGTCTAGATCAATGAGCCATGGCCCTTTACCAGACAGTGCAAAATAAATAAATAAATAAATAAATTGGGCACACCCAAACCTCCGAAACATTAAAGAATTTGTTCTGAGGGAGTTGGTGAACCACCAGTTTGTTCGGATTTTGAAAGTTTTTCAAAAAGTCAATTCTTTGAAAAACGGTGCAGGCAATTTCTTTAAATGTTGACCGTCAACTTTGGAACTGTACGTCACTGACCTTGGACTGAAGAGGTTACTCTGGTCTAGCAGAATGCATGTTTATGCAAGTACTGTGTGTTTACATACAAAGCTCATTCCCATACAGTGAGACGTGATCACAAAATGTAAGCGAATGCTTCCATCAACACTGTAATTCAACATGTGTCAAATCATGTATTGTGTCCTATCACATATTACCCCCCCCCCCACCCCCCGCCCCCCATGATGACAGCATTTTGCCAAACCTCTCTCTAAACTCCAAATATACACAAACACTTTTGTGTCCACCTGGTACACACACACACGCACACACGCACGCACGCACGCACGCACGCACGCGCACACACCAAATTATGTAAGCATTCTTGGAATTCAGCAGACAAGAGACAAGAGTCACATTCGTAGGAGGCCAAGCACCTGGATGAACAGATTACAGTCGAAAACCCCACCAGAGACCCATCTTAATCTTGTATTTTTCTCCCCAGCACAGCACAAGCTTTGGACCTCTCAGTTCTGCTAACCTCAGTGACCTTGACAACAACAATCTTCAGTTGGACTTCATGACACAGAGTAATACTGTAATGTGTTGCTTTGCAAATTTATCACACTCCCAAGGCGTTGAATGGATGATTCAATTGGTAAATGTGTGTAAAAATACAAGAGGACAGATAGCTTGAGATGATGCCTTAATGACGTAAACTGGACAGACAAATTGGATAAACATGAGGGAGCTTTCCAAGTGCAACATAGCCCTGTGGACTACCACACAGTAAATTACAACTTACAAACATGTTCATTAAGTGGAGTCGACAACTCCCAAAATGGGAAGATTGAAGAAAAAAAAAAACCAAACTTGAAGGAGTCATTTCAGAATTGTTCTTTGAATTATACAGTATATTTAGGATTATAAGACACAATATATGAAAAGTACAGTGTATATTTGGAATCCCTAGGTACTATTAAAAATGGAGCATTTATTTGGGAAATACAATGGGATGAAGTTTTGGAGAAGAGCCAAAATATGTCGCTTTCCTTTACTCTATTGATGTTAATATTGGTGCCATAAACTGACGAAAGTCGTACAGCCAAATACAGAGTGTGGACTTAATCTTCCACTATACTCCCTGTGTCAGCCATTCACAAGCCATCGCTGCAACACAGCTCAATATAGAGGACCAAAAGGCGCTGAAAGAATTCTGGACTGCTGACTGATATTTCTGACTTCTGTTCTTGAGGTTGCTCTACCACCTTGTGGCCATGACGCAAAGTGCAGTTCATGTCAAAACATTTTGGCCGATAAAGTGGGGAAATTTCGTAACATAGTAGTTTTTGATTTTGACAAAACACTGAACTGATTGAAACATTTGAGATTCAAGGGTTCTTTCTTAGATGATAACACTTGTAAGGTTCTGTTGGTTGTTTGTCAATGTAGCTTGGCCTAATGCCTCATGGATCTTTGCAAGTTGTAAATTGTAAGACTTACTCCATTGGGATGCGGAACTGGACAGTGTCAGGAGGCTGCTCTTTTCCAGGCCTTACCAGCTTCAAGAACCAGTTTGGTCTGAAGAGTCTCAGCTGTGGGTTACCCAGCTGGTACAAAGGATATCTGCAAGCAAAACAATGTCAACTTTTTTAAAAGGTTCCGGTCATAGAAAATTGACTTCTGAATTGCTGTAACTAGCTGACAACCACTCAACGGTGCACCCCACTGTCAGATGGGGTGGGTGGATTTTTAAATTGCGAACATACAGCGAGACAAGACACAAAATAACGTCAACATTGATGTCGGCATATTCAATGCATATTAATAGGGGTCTTTATCGAATTGCAATGATTTAAATTTTCAACGCTGTTGTCTGCTTCGTCTTTTTGAACAAATGAAGCATCATGAAGCTTTAAACCATGAGCAAACCAATTGGCTGGAATACTTCAGTGCTGAATGAAGCTTCATTTCACCATCATTAGGTCATATTATTTGTAACAATAATCATGAGCTTTTTCAATTCACTCACAAATTCAGTTATTCTGAGCCTGCTTAGTTGAATACAAAGCTGTTGTTGTTGATGTTACGTGCTACTGGAGAAAAAAAAAATAATTCTTGAAATGTGGGTTAAAGTGGGTTTGTGTAATATCTATATTCAAGGTGCTTTTTAAGGTGCAAATGTCATCCAAATTTGTGTTTTTTTAAAGACGAAGAGATTGCCCCTCGAGTCATTTCTGGTATTCCACCCATTACGTTCAGCGATTCAACTCAGCCTTTTATTTGCACACGTCCACTTGTGAGCCTGAGGAGATGGGAAATTTATACAAAATATTATAGGGGTGTTCACACGGCAACTTTTACTCCGGTGTAGCACCGGGACTGCCCCCGTAGAGCGTTCACACATACAACGTTATACCGGTGTAGCCCCTGAAAACAGCTTAAACCGGAGCAAATTTAACCCTGCTCAGGAGGTGGTTTAAAACTTCTGAGTAAATGCTAGTTTGTGGGGCAGCACCGATGTAAAATGTGATGTGTGAATGCTACAGGAGTAGACTCGCTACACGTGGGAAGAGTTGATTTCATACGGGTACAATGCGTTGCTTTCGTGCTCTGTTATACTTCCGTCATCTTTCCTTTCTCTTTCTCATCCTTTTACGGTGTCTGATAGACCGCAGCATTGATTTGACTGGAGAAGTATAAACCATGTTTTTTTTTGTTATGTCACAAACAAGTAGGGGAAAAGGAAGTACACTTTACGCATTCGCATGTTTTATTATCGTATTGCACGGCCGCAGAAACTGCCGTGTGAACGCAAATGGGGCTGCACTGGGGTTAACACGCTTCTCTTTAGTAAGCAGCTTTACACGTGTGAACGCTCCACAAAATTTACACCGGCATAAGATATATAGCAACAAAATACATCGGTGCAGCACCGATGCAAATGTGTGCCGTGTGAACACCCCTTATGTGAGACAACTTCACTTTGGCAACAAAAAATTGGCACTGGCAGTCTGTCCGTCTCTCTCTCTCTCTCTCTCTCTCTCTCTCTCTCTCTGTCTGTCTCTCTGTCTCTCTCTCTCTCTCTCTCTCTCTCTCTCTCTCTCTCTCTCTCTCTCTCTCTCTCTCTCTCCATTTCTTCCCACTCAAGTCACAAAGCTGATCTCTTTTGCTCTCCCTCTGTCCCTGCTCTGCACCTGGCTAGAGCAGGGCAATGGGCACGGGGAGCTACGTAGCCCCCAAAGACGACATTAGCTCTCATAACTGCCTGTTCTAAAATAAGCACTCAAGTGATGGGACATTGTGATTTCCTAGGAATGTTGTAGAAGCAAGCATTTGAAAAAGTAAACACATGCAAACATTTGTAGAAATGAAGCATTGTATACTGATATTCATATGTTTCTGACCTTGTTAACAATTATTGCGAGAAATCATTCACGTATTCACTGTTCAGTGTCTTCACATCCATTAATTTCATCCAACAATTTTCTAATCCGCTTTTTTCTCACATGGGTCACGGGCATGCTGGAGTGTATCCCAGCTGTCTTTGGGCAGTAAGTGGGAGACACCCTGAACTGGTTGCCATCCAATCGCAGGGCACACAGAGATGAACAACCATACGCACTCACACTCAATTGGCAATTGAGAGTGTTCCATTCACCTTCCATGCATGTTTTTTGAATGTGGGATGAAACCGGAGTACCCAGAGAAAAACCACGCTGGCATGGGGAGAACATGCACACTCCACACAGGAAGGCCGGAGCCGGAATAAACCCTGCACCTCTCCACTGTGAGGCACACGTGTTAACCAGTTGACCACCGTTCTGCCCGATGAATTTCATTGATTGTTAAAAAATGTGTATTTCCAAGTAATTTGAACAAACCGTGAGCCCTTGGCATTTATCAGTCTTCAAGAAGTACCTTTGGTTGGTGAGACCTGTTGTGCATTACTACAGAAAATAAATAAGTGAAATTGGTTAATTCCGATGACACATCTAAACACGCTAAAGTGCCAGGGAACAGTGGTAGGGAATCATCGGTGTAGGCTGTACAGTTGATTCTAGTTAGAATGGGTCGTGCTTGTGTACCAGTGTTCCATGTAGTTGACGAAACAGACAGAGAGGAGCACAAATTCCGCAAAACAACAACTATGGCTACTCAACATTGACACACCAGAATTTAAAGGACACACATTTTATCGAAATAGATCACAGGATCCTAGAACAACAGATCATTTCTAAGCGAGACAAGTAAACTATTTATCTTTGGGTAGAACCCCATTCTCTAAACAAATTTACAGCAGATGACTGCATCTTCAGTTTGTCGTTAATGTCATTGCAGCTGTTGTGAAAGCGCTATATAAATCAGGATTTATTGTATTGTATTGTGACCTGGAGCACAGCCACTGCTGCGTTGGAGTACTGCATGTTTTTAGCATACCATGCTAACAAAGGATAGTCATGTTGCAAAACGCTCGTATGGTTTATTCTTCACAACGCATCATCCGCCCGACTTCAGGCAAAGACAAGACAAAAACACGAAATTCGCACAGTGGATGGGTAAAGTCGGACGGGAGTCTTGCAATCTTTAATAAATCAAGTGCTTCAGAAGGAGACATAGCATGAACTAAAAATGACTGTATTCGCGCTTGTCATTCTAATTGAAACAGTATAAAACCCGATAACTTACAGTAGTCTCGTTACTGGCATCTTTGTTATGGTTCGTTGTGGTATAGGCTTGATAAGTAGTTGTTTTGCAGGCTTTCCAAGGTTGTTTCAGCAGGACATGTGCGCGTTACTTCCGGGAACAAACTCATTGCGCATGCTCACCAATCTGCACAGCCGCATTGGGTCATGCCAAGTTGCAACATTGGCGTGCCGTCAAGGCTTGCCTATTGATATATGCTTGTGTACAACGTTGAAGTTACGCTGTGTGATGAATCCTGATATTCCTGCGACCCGAGTTTATATAGGCACCAGCATTTTTGAAACCCTGATCATTTTACAATTGTGTTCTCAAGAAAAGCAGGTAATTAACTATCATACAATATGCATCCAGGGCAATCATCAACATTACACTCTTCAAGAGATATTTGTTCTATTGTCTATTTTTGCCGGCACCGGAACACACACTCCGGAAGGTGACATACACATATTTCACAAGTACTGCTGAATCAATCCCTTACCATCAAATAAAAAAAAGTTCAGTTTTATTGAATTTTATACTTATTCTAATTGCATTAAAATGTAATAACAGAGTTGCGAATATGCAAATGGGCTCAAATTACAAGCTTCTCACTGGCCAAGAACAAATATATGATAAATAGACAGACATATTTTTACTTGCAAACTCATTTTTTAATTATTTGGTGTTCACATTATCATATCATACAACACCATGTATTTTTAGATAATCAATTTGGACTTGCTACTGTGATGCCCTGAACGGTGAACATCAGAGGTCGTTTATTTTTAAGACTAGTTAACGTTGTTGGAAGGTTTCCGGATACGCTTCATCACTTTATCACTCAGTACATGTAGGCCTAAAGAGAGAGCAGCAGAGGGAGACTCGGTCCCACTTCTATAACAGAAGGCAGGTGAGCTGTTATTGAATAGAAGAGCCACTTGAAATAAACCACACCCTGATATCTGGGGGGGACAACATAATTGTTTCTGTTACTGCAAACTTCATCAAGACTGTTACGTTGAGTATCACTAATATAGCTCATGCAAAAAACTACTGGGCCAGTTTTTATAAATGGGATGGACAACGAGGAAACAATCACCCTTTGTGTGACAAAAGAGCAAATCCAAAATCCGGTAGTTTGTATTTCTGTCCCTACCAATACAATATATACAGTAACTTGTGTCCTTTTTTTTTTTTTTTTTTTAATTCCCTTGATCATTATACTGTTGCGGATGGGTTGGAGACTATTCCAGCTGAGCTGGGCAAGAGGCAAGAGCTACAACCTGAACTGGTCTCCAGGCAGTCGCAGCAATATAGAACAAATCCTATGCTCGCTTAGGGACTAAGATGATTATCATAGCTTGGAAGATCCATGTGCTCATGTGACTGAAACTTCATTATTTACATTTATTGGAAGGGGCAAAAGCCAGCAGAACATTGATTGGTTGAAAGGTTCTGTCCAGGTGAACCACATAACTTGTTTAAAAAAAAAGTGGTGCATAGTGCTTGTTTGTAGGTTTATATAGCGGCATTAGGGACAGTTTTCATTGGTCATGCTGCTCCTGATGCTATTTAACCATTGTCCCATAAGAACTGTTGGCCCTTGTGTGCATTCTCTCTTGCCATATTCATTCCAACCTCTGTCCACATCCTGATGTTATCAGCCCCGCTTGTTTTCCTTCTCTCTGGCCTCCCCTGTCGTTCAACTTCTCCTTCGATGGTCATCTGTAGTTACACTATCTGGAAGCAAGTTCCATTGTCCCTTCATACAGGTCTTCCTTTCTCCCTTTTCCCTCTCTAACTGGGCAAGCAGTCTGCCATTCTCTATACTTCTACTGTTTGGCAAACACACAATTGGTCTTGTCCTTCCAACTTACCTGTAGCATTCTGCACCATACCCACATCTCAAAGGCCTTTATCTTCCTCATGTCACCTTGTTTTAAAGTCCGGCGTTCCCCACCATACAAGGTAATGCTCCATATGAAAGATTTCACCTCCTATTCATTTATTTTCAGGCCCATCTCTTTTGCCTTCCACACGCTAATTAGCTGACTGGTGGCATCTCGTGGAAACGCTAATCCAGCACTCATCTCAGGTGTTCAGTCTGTATCAACCATGACCATGGGGCCAAGATCTTTGACATTGTCTGGTTGGTTGATTCCATTTTTGCCAAGGAAGACTTGTTCTTTGCTTGTGCATCATTACGTGTGTTTGGCAGATTTTATGTGTTGACACAATTTTTGGCTGTACTACTCCAGAGCTTGTTTGTTTCTACTTGAGAGCATGCAATCAATGTGGTATCACCAGTGCGGACATTCCATGTTGGTCTACCACCTGCAGTGCAGCCAAGCCTTTCAGCAAAAGTCTCCTTCACCTGTCTGATAATGGCTCAACTCAACTTTATTTATGGAGCACTTTAAAACAACCACAGCTGCAAACAAGTTGCTGTAAATGGAGCAAAACTTAGTCATACGAGAACAAAGACAGTTAAAACAATAAATTAATAACATTTTAAAAAAAAGTAAATTCGTATCATAGACATTTCATCGGTAAAGCTCTCTTTCTGTTGAGCACACCACAAAGCTATAAAATGTGTTATGACTGTTCTGAAGACCTGTAACAGGAGTACGGCTCTCCTCACTTTGGAATTAGCTTCCATTTTAAATGTTTTTTTGAGAGGTCAGGATTGTAGGTGTCATAATGTGTTTAATGGCCTGATAAAGGGCAGACTATGTGACGCCCTAAAACACATGGGCATACAGCCTCTCACACTTCAAACACGTACTGTAATTGAAATTGAGAGAGTGATCATCATGCGATTTGTACTTGTTGAAATTAAATAGGCAAGCACCACAATGTTCACCAGGGAAGTGGAAAATGAAAACTTTACTGACACCGCTGTTGTGTGTGTGTGTGTGTGTGTGTGTGTGTGTGTGTGTGTGTGTGTGTGTGTGTGTGTGTGTGTGTGTGTGAAAGAGAGAGAGAGCATTGACAATGAAACTTCAGGTCTCGGGCATTGGAAAGTGGCTGCTTTTTCTGACTGGACAAAGAGGGAGAAAGAGAGAGGTGGATAGACGGAAACAGTCGGGTCCACAGCAGTGTCGACCCGCCAAGAGTGGGTGCTTGGAAATTTCCCATCTTAAAGGCAGCCGGGAATAAATCGGTTTTGAATAACCTGGAGAGAAAATAAAGGGAAGTTTTAAATTAAAAATCCAGACCAGAGATGGAAAGGTTGCAATGAATAGTGAGCCCTCCTGTTTGAGCGATTTCCCTGAAGCCACTTTGTCTCAAGATCCGATATCTGCAGTATCATTTTCCAAAGGACAAATTACGTCACATTTTACGTTCATGTGTACCGTCGTGGTTTCTCATTGCAGATATCTATGAATCGGTTGCAGATATCTGCTCTGTGAATTACGCAACTGAATTGTAGCTGTGATATAGTCATTTTGACTCTTGCAGTTCAAGATATCTTTGAACCGTCTCCATTCAAGATATCTGCATGTCCCTTAAATCTTAAATGAAGTTTAAACTACCAAGCAAAATAACATTGTGGCAGCAATTCTAGGATTAGAAATGTTTTAGTTTGTTGAATACGTCAGACATGTTGCTCCAATACAAAAAAAAAATCACTGGATGTTGAAAATGTTTTTACTTTAAAGGAAGTAGTAAGTAGACACCAGTTAGATTCAAGAGACCCACATACATCCAATAGTAATACTAAATATCCAACCATTATCCGAACCGCTTATCTTCATGACTGTCAAGGGGGAGCCTACTCCAGCCGTCTTCAGTCAATAAGTAGGATGCACCCTAAACTGGTTGCCCGCCAATCGGAGGGCACACAAAGATGAACATCCATGAACACTCACAACCACACTTATTGACCCATTCAGAGTGACCACTTAACCTACCATGCATTTTGGGGGAATTTACGAGTAAACTCGTGGGAAACAGCTTTCCTTTGATTGTTGCTTTCTACATGTGGCCGTCTTGTGGCCACCATGTCTCTTCATTGTGTGTGCTGCATTGAAATTCAGCGTGCCGTTGGTGTAGTTGTGGCCAGCCACGGTACCCTTTGAGGCGGTCGTGGGTGGCCACAACTACACAACACAACACAACACAACACAACACAACGTGGCACAGTTGCCTGTGTGTCTAGTCAGTACCTGGGGCTGGCTGTGTTGTGTATGTTGTCTTGTGTGTTTGTCAGCCCCTATCCTTCATGTGTCTTTTGGTAGCACTGTCATTTGGTTAGGGCAACAAATTAGTCATTTTCCATAGCCATCAACCATTCATTGATGGAATGAGAAGTTCAAAAGAGCGCAATTTTGGATTAAAAAAAAAAGTTAATTGGGAGAATCAAATGTCATTAATATATGCATGATTCTAGCACATTACATCATCTTAAAGAACGTTGCAAACAAAATGGGTTACCTGTAACCATTACAATGTCACTTTTGTGACACTTATGTTTCAGCACTGCTAAACTTTGCACAAAGATTCCAACACAGAGTAGATGAAGCGATTTCTTTCGCACACTATCACGTTAACCTTGCCCCTTTGCCATCAAAACTAATTAAGTGGTAGAAAAAAAATGGCCAATTCGGGAGTGATTTGTCTTTTTTTCATGCCCCGTGTTCACACTCTCAAAGGGAGTGGAGCATGCCACTCAACAGTCCTCTGCCTATTTATAGCTGGAAGGGATGGGCGGGATGGATGGTCTGTAAATTCAGACCCCCCACCCCTCCCCTGGATGTTCCGTTGAAGTCATAAGCCTGACCTCTAACCCATGAGCCTGACCGCTGCACTACCCATGTTGAACTTGGGCAGGCACGCATGCTTGGACGCATTATCCCGTACTCCTGCCTCTGACAGAGGTATGTGATGGATTAGGAGCTGAGGGGGGACTGACATGCATAAACAGGAACAAGAGCAACTGATCTTCAAGTTATGTCAGCCAGCACCTCTTCGGACATCTGGTGTGTCACCGTGGAAAACCTTAACTAAACATGGCGTTATTGCTAAAACCTGGTGTTATTATTATTATTATTATTATTATTATTATTATTGTTGTTATTGACATGATGATTGTTGGAATAAATGTAATTCTGTTATCCCATAATTACTCTGAGTGTAACGACAAAACCTTTGTTCCAGAGTGCGATTTCGCAAATACCTCATTTACAATGGGGTAGGTTTGTTATGGGAGACTTGTCGGCCTGTGAGAGCCCAGACGGCTCCTGTTCTGGCTCTTAAGTTAACATCCTTTTGTTAAGTTAACGGCTTCTGATCAAATTAACTGTTGCTTGTGAGAAGATAACATCAACCCCAGGACATAATGTGAGGGACATCCACAGCTGTGTTCGCGGACCACCGACATCCAGCAGGAGCCGTCTGACACCTCAGGAATGAACTGTGTGTTCTCATTGAAAGTCTCCTCGACTGAAACTGTTGTGAAATGTGCAAATACTCCCCACACCCATGAGAAGATCGTGTATCAGGGACATCCTTTCAATAAATGCAAGAAGACAAACGCTGTCTCTTCAGAGTTGCCTCGGAACCTGTAACGGTTTACATGGCAGAGCCAGCTGGAGAGCTGCCCCGAGATTGTGAACCGAGACATGTTTTCGCGCACTCTCTCTTCCTGATCCTGATGTATTCTTCGCATCAGATTACCAGCATAAACCAAACAACGAGAATCTGAGCTATGTCATTTTGGTTGCGACGTGCTGACAAAGCACTTAAGATGTGTCAGCGTGTTCTGCACAACCACTAAAAGTGCGCTGTCTTAAGCAATGCATTCATGGTTGAGCTGCATGTGTCAAAGTGTGGTTCAGTGGCACAACGTTGACACTGTGATTCCAGACACAATAGAGGGTGACAGTCCGAATACCAACGATTGCCACCTTGGACCAATCGCACTGGCATCAGTCCATCAGAGGCACACATAAACAACATTGTGGCCGTCAAGTCTCGTAGAAATACAAAACCGGAACCAAACAACAATTCTCATGTCTACAATAAACAGTGATTGATCATGAACACAAAATTATTTCACTTCTATTGTTCAATTTACTTGATGCTCTGTGAACTGCTTTGGAAATTATCAGTATGGTAAATGTTAAAGCGCATGCTTCATTTCAAAAGTTGCTCACTTATTTTTATTGTGCTTTTTGCTGTTACATCCAGACATTGAATTTGCTGCGTGAATTTTTAATGTTGTTTCACCTCATTCTAGGTGCATCTTCACTAATTGTACTGACTGGACATTTGACTGATGTTTGTTTTGTTTAAATATTGCATATCGACTGTAAAATTTCAGCGTTCATACGTTTTTGGCAGGCTCACATCCTTCTCTGCTCTCCAAGAAAATGCCACAAGATCAAATGTGGCTAAGGTATGGAAAATGTCCACACGTGTCATGAAGCCTGTGACCACGCACCCGAACGCGCCCCTATCCCCGCTGCTTGGACTGCACACCCTTTACGCACGCAGAGCGCACGGACAGTGCGCGGACACGCATGGGGGGTCTCTCCCTTTTCCGAGTCGACCTTGGCCGCTTCGCCCACGCGGGAAACTCTACCACTCTGGCCTCTGGCAAACCCTCCCGGTCCCCCTCAAGCCTCCCCACCCCCATTTCCCTCTCTCTACCTTTCGTGTGAAGAAAGAGCGCAGCGTTACGTCAGACTGTGCGCGGTAAGCGAGAGCGCGTCTTTGAGGGTTTTCGTGGCCACTGCTGCCAAACTCCGCTTGGGGCAGCTCACCACTTTACTTCGGCCAATGCACGTCAAGTCAAGCTTTTTAAAAAAGCGGCGCTATGTGGTAAGTCAACAATCCATTCCTGCTCTTTTGCTACCCACGCCGATTTCCTCACATGGCATGTCTCTATTGCTGGTACAATTGACAAAGTGCCACACGGTGTATGGTGTGTGCAGATAACACAAGAAAAGAGAGCATATACCCTTACACCGTGATGGCATGATGAAGCAGCAACAGAGTCGTTTGGCGCACAGAGCTTTCTGCAGTATTTCTTGGTGTTTGGTTTTTTGCTGATCTCAAAAACAACATGCCTCACGCTCGAAATAGGAACCCTAGCCCCATTCCGGAGGTAACATGGGACACGGGCTTGAAGGAGATGAACGAGACGTGGAAAGGAGCGATCGCGTGTCTCGGGGTGGCCGTCTTCTTTGTAATGACCATTGGGATCATATACTGGCAAGTGGTGGACCAGCCCAACAAGAACTGGATCCTTAAGGGGACTTTGAGCGGATTGATCTGGGAAAGAAGAACCCACTCGCTCGTGATCCAGACCCTGACGGAGGACAAGACCTACGTGGAGATAGACGTCGGGAACGTGGGGAACCCTGACCTGGAGGTCCCCTTCGTGAGGAACCTGTGCTGGCTCAACAAGACCGAGTTCTGCTACACGTGGGACGCGGTGGCCGAGATCAAAATCTCCCTGGATGTGAATGAGGACACGGAGACCGAGTGCTACAGTATGACATGGACGCCGGTGCAGTGCCATGTGCAGCTTAAGGTAGGTTTCCTCTCACTCTCGTTTGTGTTCATGCAGAAAGGAGCGGTTTTTGCGCTTATCGTTTAACGTGCATGCCCGAAAGCAAATAACTATGTTTTGGTTTGTTTGTTTTTTTTTGGGGGGGGGGGGGGCAAATTATTTGTAAAGTTAAATTTGCAGCAAAATACAACATAAATCCACTCACCCGCCAAAGTAACACATATACCTGGACAGTCTAAAGTGAGAGTGGTTGGAACTCAAGCTCAGTCATAGCCTCAGGTGCAAGGCAACTGCTTCACTGGCTTTTTGAATCATGTTTGAACAATGTGTGTATTATCCTGGATGTTTTTTGCATTTGTGTACAATTTAACTAAATCCTAATGAAAGCGGCCAGTAATCTTTTTACTCACTCATTGAGCTCCAATTAAGGAAAGCAAAATATAAATACCTCCCTGGTCTGATGTAATATTGCACACCATTGCAAACTGTAATTTCTAAAACAATCTCTGTTTAAAACACTGTATTGTGCCAGTGTCAATCAGAATTGAGCATTATTATCTTACATCGTATCGGCAGATCTTTTTAAAAATTCGACTCATGTTAGAAGTGTACATAGAGTTGTGCCATGAGTGTACAGCTGCATTGCATTGTGTGATTGTGTTTGAATGCTACGATGTATATAATCATAATTTTCTGTTCATTTAAAGCATATATATGGCAACAATCCACTGACTGTTATTATGTTTTAAGTCTTCTATATAACTGTATAGAGTTACAGACACTTCAAGCATACCATATCAAATGATTTATGTATTTAATAAGACTGGCACATATTGTACTTTCCGTCGGCTTAATTCTCAAAGACATTTCACTGTTGGCATGCTCGGTGAGGTTAATCTGTCCCCACCACTATAACTCCGTCATGTGGTGTGATTGCTTGGGCTCAGAAAAGCTTTCCAAACACACAATTTCCAAAATCCTGCTGGGTGCCACTCAGCTGACCACTTGGCAGCCCTCCTTCCTACAAGTCTTGAATAGGGCTCAGACTTATATAAAATAAAAGAGATTTTTTTTTTTGTTTTTGTCTCAGGAAAAAAAAAAGTTGACAAAGAAAATACAAAAAGATATTTTCTGTATGTGTCTCTTTTGATTCTCAATCACAAAAATGTGTGTTTGTGTCTTCAACCTACAAGTTCCTCGGCCAACATTTTTTGTTGTTGTGTTTTCATACATGACAACTTCTTGGGACTGTCAGGACTGCTTCTCCATGACAAACGTATCCTGGTATGGCGGCGCCAGTGTCAACGGTCAGACGTGGCCTATAAATGATCAAAACGCCACCATGCAGCCCTTCGTTGTCAGCGATCTCAAGGAGAATCCCTTCGGTTTCGGCTCGGCTCTCGAGCGATACTTCCTTGGCTCGTCAGGTAAGAGCTCGTACTTTAAATCATTGCAATCACTCAACATGTTATGTTCATGCACCACTGGACTTAAACCTTAAATGTGACACAGCCTTTTGTGCATCATGGTGCGCTTAAGAAATATGACCCCACCTCAGGGAACACACAAAGCGTGGTGTGAATCCCAGGGTGTGGCGTAACCCCCCTCAGATTTTTACGCGCATTCCATCTCCCCACCCCGCATTACAAACTTGTTGGTTTGTGTGCAAGTGCAGATAAATAATGTGAATGGAAAAAGCACACCCAAAATATAACCCACTGGATGGGGAAGTGACCCATAAATAGACTGAAAAACAGTACTGTCGGTGGCATGGTGGTTTATTAATTTAGAGATTACACTACATAGAGAAACCAGAAGCCAATTTGCATGCTAAATCAACTCTTACATACATCGTGGCAATTGCCTTTTGTTGCTATTAAAAGAATAGGCTGAATGGGAGTCCTTTTATTTTCGAGGTGTTAAATTTTTATCCTGGTGGTAAAAAGGGGGTTATGTGGGCCACGAGTGGACATGAATGGTTGAATGTGGCTGATGAGGAACACGTGGCGCATGTGTGACTTGTAATTGTGGTAATAAAAACAATGTATGTACAGTAAATGTCACACTGCTGTTCAATGATTAAAGCTTTTTGTAATGTGACAAAAGTCAAGTCGAAGTTGATTACTCAATGACAACAAACTTTTATGCCCCAATTTCATAAAAACATACATATACTGTGGCAAACCAAAACAAATAAAATCAAATGATAAAATGTACAATTCACTTTTATGTTTGAGTATACTCATTGGAATTAATGGGAGCCCTGCGTAAGGTTTGCTTTGCCATGCCGGCGTGATATTATCTTCAATAACATCCATCCATTATCTAATCCGCTTATCCTCACGAGGGTTGTGGGCGTGTTGGAGCCTCTGTCAGCTGTTTTCAGGCAGTAGGTGCTTTACACCAGTAACTGGTTTGTTTCAAAGCATAATGTATTCAAACGATGTGACATTGTGTTCAAAAAAATATTCACTGTTCCTATTTCACTTGTGCTTTTATTGTATTTCAAAAGAGACTTGTATATTTTGCAATTGATTGTACTACTGGTCTTATATGTGCTAAAACATGTCCACACACTTGTAGCATAGTAGGGCCGTATGCTGGACTGTGACAATAGTTACAGTTTCTTTTGTCAGGTGGTGACTGTTAGGATGTATATATAATATCAGTAAGTATTCCTTGAAATAACATTTTTGCAGACAAAGTTGAAGGACCATATTTTCATGCCCGGCGCAAGTCTGGCGAAAAAGCACAGTCTAATGCATGTGGGGAGTTTTCTTTCTTTTGATGTTAGTGTAGACTCGCACAGGACAAAGGGGACATTTGCACCATTGTGCGTCGTTGTGGGATGGAACACAGTCGACTCCTGGCAAATTGAAGCAGCTCTCCTCATTCCTTTTAAAATCATGGTGGTCGAAGTGCACACAGCCCTTGACGTTGCGGAAGCAGAAATTGACTCCATGGGGTCAATACATGAGATTGGCATGCTCAAAATGCTTTTATAAAGGTAAACTGCAAGATTTCCCCTGGCAGATGATGCTGTTGGACGTGCATGTGGCATGGGTAAATAGAGACTGCCTTGCACCCCGATCATGCATCTATGTGTGACTGCCCATTAACGTAACAATGTAAAAAATAACAAAAATGGACATACGTGTTTTTCATAGGACAGCTTTGATAGGCTCACCCTCCACTGAAGACAAAGCATACATGAATGCACACGCATAGACGTTTGGGGTGTTATGTAATATAGTGGCAGGCTAAACAAGGTGTCACATGCCTAACCTCCCCTCTCCAACTTTAAAGAGGGCAGCCCCATAAGCTTTTGTTTCTTAGTTTAGCTTTGCAGAGAACGAATAAAAACAAATGTCATGAAGGAGGCACTCACAGACATATAAAAGTGAATAGCTCCAGTTAGAGGAAAGCACTGTGAACAATATGTTCACTTGAATTTTTTTTTTTTTTTATTAAGTATTCAAAATGATTTTCAGCTCCTGATCTTTACAAAACTCACTGTAATGATGAAGCAATGATAATAAATAATAAACAATATTCTTTTAATATAACATATTTCAAACTTTCCAACCGGAGAATCACACAAATTGCAATGACCATAATTATGCTTAATCATGACTCGTTTAAATGGGAGTATTCTGCGGGATGTTTTCTGAATCATCCTCCAACTTCAAACCAGATTTTGAAACAATTGTTTGATTTGAATGTACTGTTATGGTAATGAACTTTTGCAGGGTCAAAGTTACTTTGGAAGTGTCAAATGTCAGTTAATCAATGTTAAATTTCAATCACATTTTGTATAAAACAATAAAACCCAGTCGCTGATGGTGTAATGGGAGACTCACCTGACTTGTGAGCGGGCAGCGGGGGATTGGTTCCCACTCAGCGACGGTGTGCATGTGGGTGTGAATAGTTGTTTTTCTTTTCATGCCCCCTGTGACTGACTGGCGACCAGTTCAGGGGTGTAGTCTGCCTTCCGCTAAAAGTCAACTGGGATAGGCTCCAGCTCCCCCGCTCCCCCGTGACCCTGTTCGGGATAAGCGGCGTTGAAAATGGATGGATGGATGGATGGATGGACAAGAAAACCCTCATAACTGTAATGACAAAGGCATAACGTTTGGGCAAGTGGCTTTGCAGATTTGCCTCTCACTTTTTACCCTTTTAACATTCTAACTTTTCACACACGTGTGGAAAAAAAAATCAGCACTGTTGTGAAATAAACATTAAAAAAAAACATCCAAACTTAGATAAGTAGTGTTGGGCATGATACTCTGAAACAGTAATTAGTTACAGTTATAAATGACTTCACCCAAAAAGTAATAGAATTGCAAACTCAGCTACTACGACTGTAAAAGTAATTAGTTACTCAGCAAAGTAATTATGGTATTTTTCTATTATGTTCTATCTACTGTGTAAAAGACGTTTAATAGCTTTATGAATAAGAAAAACAATATAGTTTAGAACATTTGGTATTGATTTCAACTCAACAAATTGCAACTTGCCACATGCATCGAAACAAAAATGTATAAAAATTAAAAATTGAAAATAAATAACATTAACACACTGCACTAAAGTCCAAAACTAAGACACGCAAACATAAATGTAAATGTAATTAGAAATAAAGGAAAATCTATGATGTAATGTTCTCTGTATTTGTACATTATTGCACAGTATTCTGAGCTTTGTCCAATACTTAAACATTCAGCAGGAACAAACATGTTTATAGGGATATGAATTTACTGCTATACGGTATCTGCAGGTTGTTCAATACTCGGGACAGACGGCAGTCATTTCCAAGCAACCAAGTCCATTATTATTGGTAACATGAACTGACTTCCTCACCAGCATGCACAATCACCACTCAATGTTGTGCACACGCTCGGGATTGTACTTGTGTGCACAACTTTGCCCTCACTGATTAAACTCACATACGAAGACCACAGCACGCGCATCTGCCGCTTGTGTTCTTTATAAGAAGAAAGGCATCGTTCCCCACGCCATGCACACTCATAGTTCCATAAAGCAAAATTCACATATATCCAGAACCAACACACAACACATCCGTAACACGTGCAGGTTTTGCTGAGCTTAATTTACTTGTTTTGGTATTTTCAGACATCAACGTGGCCATAGGTAGAAATGTGCACATGAATGTCTGTGGCGATTGGTCAAAATTTCCTTACATTAAGCCACGATAAGCTTTTTCTCTATAGTGAATGTCTATGAGGAGGAAAAAGATGGATGCCCATAAAATTCAAAACACTGTTGGCGATTGTTTTGGTATTTGCAGAGGTTGAAGTGAGCATAAGTGGAGACATGCATATGAATTTTGATCACGACTGGTTGTAGTTTTTCGACACTTAGCCACGCTAAGCAGTTTTACATTAAGTGTTTTAAACTGTTGCAATCGCCATTGGTAATGTCGTTATACTTAAACAGCGTTATTACCAACCCTGTGGATAAGTCATGGGATGTGAGCATGTTGGAGTCGTACCGCCTTGAATGTAAGTGAACTTAATGTAAAAAATATCCCTCATCAATACTCTTATTCATCTCTTCGTCAAACATGCTGAAATAAGTGTTGCAAAAAAGTCCCCACACAAACAAAAACACTTGCAGAGTTAATCCTTTCAGGCTGGCTAGACTGAGCTCTTGCAATATTTGCTGACATAATGCATAGTTCAAAGTCCAGAGTGCAATTCCAGAAGTGTCTTTTCTTGACCCGTGAGGACTGGCTGTGTGTCTGCCCAACAAGAAATGAATGTTGATGTAATTACATTTACCGGTATTTATTTATTGCAGCTTTTAATGTCAGTCAGATAATTTGATGGCAAATATGCCACTTTGTTTGGCTCATAAATGTTCCGTACAAATCAGACTCTTAGGTCAGTGGCTCACCAGCCATGATATGTGCCACACGTCACAGTATTGTACATACATGTGCACAATACGACAGAAAAACTAAAGTGGTGTATGCATACTGTATCTTTCAAATTTAACATTCTAACTTTTGCAATCTGTGACACATTAGAACATGTATTCAGTGCATCTGCATCGTCGGCAAAATATTTTTTCCGATGTTCTCATGTTGATGTGTTTGCATGTGTTTTGCGTGGGTTTTGTCCTGGTACACTGAGCCCCTCCCACATTCCAAAAACATGCACCTTTATTCTAAATTGTCCACAGGTGTGAATGTGAGTTGGAGGGTGTTTGTCTATGATTGACTGTCCGGAAAATGACGGGTGAACAGTCAAGTGTGTCTTGCCCAGAGGCACGCTTTAGTTCAATATCACATTTCAAATACAAGGTAACTGAATGTGCTTCACATCATTAAAAGTACAACATTTAAAAGCATTTACAAACTAAAGAACTAAATACATCTAGAAGCAAAGTGCAGAAATAAAAGGTGGCT